TGCAGCCTGTCCCTGCACCTGTCTATAAAGTCCTGGGCATCCTCATGACGCTCACCCCCGAAGACTGGGGGGTGAAGCCTGGTCCATCTGTCCAATAACTTCTGTGGGTCACCATCCATAGCTGGCCTGGGCTGGGGTGCCACTGCAGCAACTGGCTGAGCCCCATCTGCGGGAAGTGCACCCGGAGTCTGATATACTGCAGCTGCATGGCCTGGAGCCTGAGCAGTAGGGTCTGGGCTCCCCCTCCTGCCTGAGAAGTAGCTGGGTCTACTGGAAATAGACCAGCCTGAGTCATAGTGTCCATGAACCGTAGCATGCGGCCCATGACCTCCTAAAATCCCGGTGCTGTCATGAAATCCGCCGGTGTAGGCTCAGCTGCGGGCACCTCGCCCTGCTCCTCAATAATAGGATCTGCCGGTGGTGCAACTGGAACGGCTCTGGGACGCCCTCGCCCCCTACCACGGGCCGGTGCCCTCCCCCGGCCTCTACCTCGGCCTCTAGCAATGGGGGGAGCAGCTCCTCCCGGGTCCGGAACGTCGGCGGTACGAGTTCTCACCATCTGTGAGAGAATAGAAGAGGGAAATTTAGTACTCTAAGCACTGCACGACAGGAAATGAATAAAGAGTAGTCTTTCCTAATACCCTATAGCCTCTCGAAGATAAATACAGACGTCTCCGTACCGATCAACAAGACTCTATCAGGTTTGCCCATAACTCGTGAGACCTACGTGAACCTAGTGCTCTGATACCATGTTGTCACGACCCATTTTTCTCAATAGGTCATGAGGGCGCCTGACACCCTTGTCAGGCAAGCCATTTCGGAAATATTACCAAAATAATTTTATTGCTTTTAATTAGAATTAAGCGAAATAAACACTCAACTTGGAATTTAAAACCAGAAGAGATAAATACCATAATGAAATAGTTACACGACCCCAAAATAATCGTCTACCAAAGTGTGTGCCAGAACCTGGTGTCATAAGTTACGGGCAACTAGTAGAATATACAACCCAAAAGAATACCACACTACCCTACTGTCTGGATCAGAATAGACAGAAAATAACAATGCAAAAGAAAGACTTCTTCGGCTGCGGATCGGCATGGAAGGAAAAGCAGCTCACCGTAGAAGTCCCAAGCCTGCTCACAAATGTGCACCAGAGAAATAACCGGATCCACCTGCCTCAGACCCTGTACATTTAAGTACAGAAGCGTAGCATGAGTACATAAACAATATGTACCCAGTGAGTATCCCGCCTAACCTCAAAGGAGTAGAGACGAGAGGTCGACTTGATACTCACTAGGGCCAAATAATATCATAAGTTTAAGTTTAACAATGAAAATCTATAACAGGCAACAGTTTACAACTAGGCATATAAGTCATATTCTTGCTAAGATTCTGATTAATCAATTACTTCAGTCACAATTATCAATTCCTTTCGAGTTATGGAAAAAAAAGCGATTCTAATAGTTAACACTCTCAGGCAAAGCTATACAAGCATGCGCAAATATGCCGAGGCGACGGCCCGATCCAACAGAAATAAATTGTGCACTTGTCGAGGGTCGACGGCGCACCTATAGATGCATCTATTCATACCGAGGCGATCGGCCCGATCCACAAATAAGTAGGAATATCAAGTATACACACAAGGCACATCAATAGTCATAAATGCCAAGCAAGACTTCAACAATTATACAAGTACGTTCTTATTCCCTTTTTAAATCTCTAGCACACCCTAGGTGTTCATAGTAACAAGATAATAAAGAGAGTCATGTAAAATAAGCATGATGTGGGTCCTAAGCTTACCGGACCATCAACATAGTAGTAGCTACGCACGGACTCTCGTCACCAAGCGCGTGCGTAGCCCCCGCATTTAGCAATAATTACTCAATTATTAATCCTATGGGGACAGTTCCCCCTCACAAGGTTAGAAAGGAGACTCACCTCGCTCCAAAGCGCGCTCCCAAATATCAAGAACAAGCCCCAGCTCTTAATTCGAAGCCGAACGATCGCAACTAGTTAAAATAGGTAAGAACTAGTCAATAAAGGCTTAAAAGGCCAAATTCTAACTATTTAAGTAATTTCCCAACCTTTCCCACAAGTTTCCTAAATTCCGACCCCGGGCCCACGCGCCCGGATTCCGATATTTTTCGAAGGAAATTGTTCTCTACAACCTAAGGATCAATAATATATGATTTCTAGTCCATTTCATAACAAATTCCATGCTTAAATCTTAGTTTTGCTAAAACCCTAGGTCTAGCTCTAACCCTTGATTTTTACCAAATTTTAGTGTTTAATCTACCTAATGTTCATGTAATTTAACTTATAATGGAGGGAGATTACTTACCTTGCAATAATATGTTGAAACCCTCTCTTTGGAACCACCAAAATCGCCCAAGTGAGGAGTAAGGTATGGGGGAAATGACTTTGAACTCGGATTAAATGCATATACTGCCTTCCAGCGATTTCTGCTTCTGCGGCTAGAGGACCGCATCTGCGGTCCCGCACCTGCAGAAAGGTGGCCGCATCTGCGGAAGTGGGCGAGGGAGGGTTGGACCGCTTCTGCGGTCTAACGCCCGCACATGCGGAACCGCTCCTGCGGTTACCTAGCCGCTTCTGCGGCTTGGGCCTTGAATAGCTGGACCGCATTTGCAGTCTGGGGATCGCATAAGCGGGACCGCTTCTGCGGTCCCTGGGCCGCTTCTGCGGCTTTCCCTGGGCCTCCCCCTTTTCGCATCTGCGATGACATGACCGCATTTGCGGTCCCGCTTCTGCGGTTCAAGAACCGCAGATGCGGTTATGACAGAAGCAACAACCTCCAACCCTTTCTAAGTTTTCTACTTCGCTCGAACCTCGTTTGTTTGGCGCTCGGGGCTCCCGAGTCCCTCCCGAACATACCGACAAGTCTAAAATCACGAGGCGGGCCTACTCGAACCCTCGTAACTCCCAAAACAACGCTAAATCTTAGAATCACCCCCTAAAACCAAATGAATCAAACTATTGAATCCTTAAGTTCTTAATTCTCCTCTAACGGGTCAAAACACCCTTAAACTACTCGGATTGACACCAAATTTTACGGGCAAGTCTTAAATGACATTACGGACCTGTACCAAGCTTCAGAACCAAAATCCGAGCCCGATACCTAGGGAATCAATGATTTCTTAGTTTCTTTAATTCTTTAAAGCTTCAATTAAACAATTTCGGATAAAAATTCATTACTCGAGCTAGGGACCTCGAAATTCGATTCCGGGCATACGCCCAGGTCCCATATTTTCCCTCGGACCCTCAAAAATTGTCAAATCAAAATTCTGGGTCTGTTTTCTCAAAATGTTGACCGAAGTCAAACTTGGTCTTTTAAGAAAATCTTAAAGAAGCAATCGAGCATATTTTTCTCTAAACCTTTCCAATTTCCGAACCACTCGCCCCCGCAAGTCGTGAATTAGTTGAAGCAAGTACGGAATCGGGTCGTTACAGAAGATCGAGAATTAGGTCGATCAATGATGAAGAACTGATGAGGAAGAAAGTTCTCGAAAGAGAATTTTATAGAGAGCAAATGAACTGAATTGTTCTCATTGATTGTTTCGATCAATACAATGCTATACACTGTATATATACACTGCTAAAACTAATCAAGCTTACTTCTCCACTAACTATATAACCACTAATCCAATAATTAGTTATAACTAATTGTCCAACTAATTACTTAGTCACGTGACTGTCATGTGACACTACTCTCTTCAATACTCCCCCTCAAGCTAGGTGGTGCAAATAGATTGAGCACTCCTAGCTTGCTCATCAAGTACTCGTGTTGTGATCTTCCTAGTACCTATGTGAATAAGTTTGCTTCTTGATCCTTTGACATTACATACTTTATCTTGACAATTCCTTGTTGTATCTTCTCTCTTATGAAGTGCAGGTCTATCTCTATGTGCTTTGTACGTTCGTGAAATATGGGATTCAAAGCAATTTGAATTGCTGCTTTACTGTCACAATGCAGCTCCACTGGTAGCTCAACTTCTGCTCCTAGTTCTTTACAAAGTCCTGTCAATTTCTGCAACTCCTGCTGCCATGCTTCTATATTAGCCTCTGTTGAACTCATTGATATTGTGCATTGCTTCTTGGACTTCCATGACACTAATGAACCTCCCAATTTCATCACATAACCTGTTACAGATCTCCTGGAGACTGGGCATGATGCCCAATCTGCATCATAGAATGCTGTCAACTTAGTAGACTGTTCAGAGCTCATTAATTAACAACCCTAAACCTGGAGCTCCTTTGATATATCTGACAACCCTTATAGCTGCTCCATATGAGACTTCTTTGGACAATGCATGAATTGGCTCAGTACATGAACTGCATAGCATATGTCTGTTCGAGTCATGGTGAGGTACAACAGCTTTCCTACTAGTCTCTGATAGGGACCTGGATCTCCCAACTTCTCATCTTCTTTAGAGTTCACACATTGATCATATTCTACAGTTGTGAACCTTTGATTACACTCCATTGGTGTAGTCACTGGTTATGACCCTGACAGTCTAAGATCAGTAATAAGTTCTACAGCAAATTTCCTTTGATTCATTAATATTCCCTTCTTGGATCTTGCTATCTCTAGTCCAAGAAAGAACTTCAATTCCCCTAGGTCCTTGATCTTGAAATTACTTTGCAACATACTTTTGACCTCAGAAACTAACCCTTGATCATTCCCAGTAATTAGAAGGTCATCAACATACACCAGTACAATTACTAGCTTTGTCCCTTGCTTCTTTGTGAATAAGGAATAATTAAAATGACTCTGCACAAAACCTGAGTTGATCAATGCCTCAGTCAGTTTTAGATTCCATTGTCTTGAGGCCTGCTTTAGGCCATATAGGGATTTATGCAGCCTACACGCTTTCTCCCCCTGGCTGGGAAATCCCTGTGGCAAACACATATAGATTTCATCAGTAAGGTCTCCTTGTAAAAAAGCAGTATACACATCCATCTGATATAGATTCCACTTGTTAGCAGCAGCTAAAGCTATGACTACTCTTACTGTCACCATCTTGACTAAACGGGGAAAATGTTTCCTGATAGTCTAGACCTTCTATTTGATTATATCCTTTAGCAACTAGTCGGGCCTTGTATCTTTCAACCTCCCCATTAGCTTTGTACTTGGTCTTGAACACCCACTTATATCCAATAGGGGTCTTCCCTGCTGGTAGGTCAACCAAGCTCCAGGTTCCATTATCCTCGAGTGCCTTCAGTTCTTGATTCATGGCCTCCATCCATTTGGAATCTGATGCAGCTTCTTCATAATTCATATGCTCTCTTGTACTGGTGATTTTGCACAGGTAGGCTTGGAACTTAGGAGATAGTCTGGTATGTGTCAAGTAGTTATGCATTGGATATTTGCAATCTTGCTGGCCTTCTGACCTCATGAGGGAGCCATTGCAGATATAGTCTTCCATCCACAAAGGTTCCTTAGCAGTTCTGGATGACTTTCTCAGCTGGTATCCATTATGATCAGATATCTCTTGTTCTGGAGAAATAGGCTGCTAATGTTGTATGTCTTCAAGAGACCAAGAGTCTAGTGATGGAATTTGCATGTCTTCACCATGATTATCTGCATCTGCATGGATTGAAGTGTCATCTGGTTGTGTAGTTTGGTCTAGACCATTTGCACCCTGAAGTGAACCTGCATCATCAGTGACTGGAAAGTCCAGTACACCATTAGGGAATAACTGCAATTTTCCTTCCTTGAGCAATTGAAATGGAAAAACATGCTCCATGAATTTGACATCCCTGCTTACAAAAAAGGAATTGGTTAAGATATTATATAGTTTGTACCCCTTCTGGGATGATGAGTACCCCATTAGGGCAGCTCCAATTGATCTAGTTGCAAGTTTGTCTTCTTCCCCTACTGATTTAGCAAAGCATAAACAACCAATGTTCCTCATATGCTGTAAAGATGGCACTCTTCCATACACTATATCAAAAGATGATTTGCCTGATAATACTGATAAGGCAACCTATTTATGACATAGACAGTTGCTTGCACACATTCCCCCTAGAACTTCAGAGGCAAGAAACCCTGCAGCCTAATGGCTCTAGCCACTTCTAATATATGTCTATGCTTCCTCTCCACTACTCCATTTTGCTGTGGAGTGTGAACACAAGAGCTTTGATGAAGCATTCCATAAGACTGAAATAAACTATTGCATTCAGAATTAAAAAACTCAGATCCATTATCACTTCTCAATATTTTCACAGTCACATCAAATTGAGTCTTTATTAATGCTAAAAACTATTTTAAGCACACGACTACATCACTTTTAAGCCTCGGTAAGTAAATCCAAGTCATTCTACTGCAGTCATCCACTATATTAAGAAAGAATCTATGTCCACTATGAGTTTGTACTCTATATGGACCCCAAACATCTACATGAATCATTTGAAAAGGTTTATCTGATCTACTTATACTCTTAGGGAAAGGCAATCTGCCTTGTCTAGCCAAAGGACAAATTATACATTCCTTTATTCCATCTCTATTGTACTTAAACTTCAAGTTTGGAATCTGCTTTACTACTCTTTCTGGGGCATGTCCAAGCCTTCCATGCCATATTCTCAAATCTTCCTCCTGTATAGAATGATCTTGAACTTGTACATTTGCAGCTTTAGCTTTCAGTTTCTGATGCTGCAACTTGTACAAGCCTTCTAACTCCTTACCAATTCCCTTCACCTTCCCACTGTGAAAGTCCTGCATTATCCAAAAATCAGGATAAAAGGAAACAAAGCATCTCAAGTCTCTTGTAAGTTTGGACACAGACAGCAGATTATATTTAAAACTAGGAACATGTAGGACATTCTTAACAATACAGTTCTCACCAATTTTACTTTCTCCAGTACACTCAACATCAAGAGAGGTTCCATCAGGTAAATATACCTTTGGTGCATTTCCTAGAATCTTATTGTTTATTTTGTCAAGTAGCTCTTTAATGTGAACCATATGATTGGTCGCACCAGAATCCACTATCCACTTTTCACTATTAATATCTTCATTGGTAATAAAGGTCTTAGTTGTACCTGCAAAACCTGAATTTTCACCTGTGTCCTTGTTGATCAGCTTAAATATTTGATCATATTGTTCTTGTGTAAGTGTAATTGGATTTCCCTGTGCTGGACTTGCAGTAGATGCATTCATCACTTGTTGTCCCTCATGTGAAGTTGCAGTAGTAAACTGCTTTGTTATTGCCTGCTGACCTTCATGTGTTGTTGCATTAGCCATAGGTTTTTGAGGAAAACCTGCTGCTCTCTTTCTTGTTTTAAAATCAGTTGGATATCCATGCAACTTGTAACAATTTTCTCTTGTATATCCTTTGTAGTTACAATAGTCATAAAATAATTTCCTCTCCTAGGCTTATAATTGTTTCCTGAATTTGTTCCTTTGTTTGTGAATAATGTTGTACCATCTCCTATGTCTACAGACTGAGAAAATTTTCCCAAGGCTCTTTGGCTTTCTTCAGAAACTACCATGGAATAGGCCTTGTTTACTGAAGGAACTGGGCTCATCATCAAAATTTGACTCCTAGGTTGACTATATATCTCATTTAACCCCATTAGAAATTGTAAAAGCCTTTGATACTCAAAATGCTCAGAATAACTTTTGGATTCTGGGCAGTCACACCCAGGGCAAGGCATTAATGCATCATATTCTTCCCAGAGATCTATCAGTTTTAAAAAATAAGCAGACACTGAGGAAATCCCCTGCGACAGAGTAGCAATCTCCTTGTGCAAATAGAAAATACGAGATCCATCTACCTTATCAAATTTATCCTTCAAATCAGTCCAAACTTTGTGAGCACTCGATTTATACACAATTCCACTAAGTAGTTCACTACTTACTGCATTCATGATCCATGACAGGACTATCGCATTGCATTTCTCCCAAAGCTCATGTAAGGATCGATCAAATTTATCTTTAGTACAATGACCGTCAACAAATCCTAGCTTACTTTTACCGATTAGACCTATTTTCATAGATCTGCTCCACAACACATAATTTTCAGATCCAGTCAGTTGAATAGAGATCAAGGAACTACCTGGAGTGTCACAAGGCTGTAAATACAGAGGATGATGATGATCTATGGTTATTCCAGCGCTCGTTCCAGTAGCAGTAGAATTATCTTCTCCAATCGCCATGGTTAGCAAGTTCAGTTGAATTACTCTTTGATTCAACGAATTACAGGTTCACCAGTAGCAAATTAAAAAAAAAATTGTTAGGTCAACTGATCAATAAAAGTTCGAGCGATCAGCAACCTTAGATTGATCTGTAAAACTGAGAGAATCAATCACAGTGAGCATGCATCTAGCTCCCGTGCTCTGATACCATGATGAAGATCGAGAATTAGGTCGATCAATGATGAAGAACTGATGAGGAAGAAAGTTCTAGAAAGAGAATTTCATAGAGAGCAAATGAACTGAATTGTTCTCATTGATTGTTTCGATCAATATAATGCTACATACTATATATATATATATATATATATATATATATATATATATATATATATATATATATATATATATATATACNATGACATTACGGACCTGTACCAAGCTTCAGAACCAAAATCCGAGCCCGATACCTAGGGAATCAATGATTTCTTAGTTTCTTTAATTCTTTAAAGCTTCAATTAAACAATTTCGGATAAAAATTACATTACTCGAGCTAGGGACCTCGAAATTCGATTCCGGGCATACGCCCAGGTCCCATATTTTCCCTTCGGACCCTCAAAAATTAGTCAAATCAAAATTACTGGGTCTGTTTTCTTCAAAATAGTTGACCGAAGTCAAACTTGGTCTTTTAAGTAAAATACTTAAAGAAAGCAATCGAGCATATTTTTCTTCTAAACCTTTCCAATTTCCGAACCACTCGCCCCGCCAAGTCGTGAATTAGTTGAAGCAAGTACGGAATCGGGTCGTTACAGAAGATCGAGAATTAGGTCGATCAATGATGAAGAACTGATGAGGAAGAAAGTTCTCGAAAGAGAATTTTATAGAGAGCAAATGAACTGAATTGTTCTCATTGATTGTTTCGATCAATACAATGCTATACACTGTATATATACACTGCTAAAACTAATCAAGCTTACTTCTCCACTAACTATATAACCACTAATTCAATAATTAGTTATAACTAATTGTCCAGCTAATTACTTAGTCACGTGACTGTCATGTGACACTACTCTCTTCAATACTTTTCACAATTATTTTATTTTTACTAATTTAAAGTGCAACAACCTTAACCTTGTCACTTATTCTGTGTCTCACATTGCCAAATTTGCCTGATTCGGGTCTCCTACTTTGTCATTTTATTTATACATAAATGTCTGTTGAGAAAAGAAAATCCAATCAGGAATCTTGACTATTGGATTATTTATAACATTTTTTAATTGCTAAAACAAAGGAGATGCTATGTTATCCGTCTTTAATTGAGATTTTCAATTATAAGACCTGAGTCCCATGATGTTGATGCCTCTAACAATGTTTAAATTTGGATAAAGGTAATAACGAAGCTATGATTATCACTAAGAGAAGTCAAAATATAAAGAAGTAAATAAGGATTTAACATAGCAGCGCGCACAAAGCATCCTGTATTCATCAAGGATTTGGGGAAGGGCCGCACCCTAAAGGTTGTGATGTGGACAACCTAATCTAATGCAATAAGCATTATAGTGGTTGATTCCATGGCTATCCCGTGTTATATAGGTCAGACAGAAACAACTTTACAGTTGCTCCAAGTCTCCTCTTCCTCAACGGGATCATATAATATATACACACATATTTTTTTAACCTTTATATATAGTATAATTTCCGGCGAAATAAGGGTGCTCCACCCCTAAATAAAGGATATTATTTATTAATTTTTCGAAGTGTCAAAAATTTCAAAATCAAATGTGTACTGAGTTGAAAAGTAAATGGAGGTCCACTATGTTCATTGAGTGAAGAACTTCAAATCAAAGAGGATATATACAGCCTGCTTTTTCATGTCTGCTTTTCAATTCCATGAAGCCTCCTAAAATTCAATAATTGGGTCAAAATTTGATCTTTCTTTTCCTTTTATTGTTTTGGGTAAATTTAAGTTTCCAGCTGTATTATATTGCCTAATTGTATTTCTCATATTTTTCCAACTCAATTATTGTATATACTTTTTCAACATTGTCTTTCTTTTTAACTATTTTCTGGTCTTCTAGTTCATCAGTATAATATTAACACTTGATTCTTTCGCTATCTTTTGATCTCATTTTATGTTTATGATGTGTCGGGCGCGAGACACTCTTTTAGTCCACTTATTTATGGTTTTAATATTATCCTTGTTTCTTTTCATTTATAGTTTTAATCCTTATCTTTTTTTGCCTTACAAAATATTACAGCTACTTGATTTTTGTTTTTTCCCCTACATATCTAAAGAAAAATACTACAATAAAATGTTGAAGAATATTGCTAATTTAGTGTGCCAACAAAAAATAGTGTACTTTGTTAGAAGACTTTTATCCAATTGGTCAAAGTCAACTTTTTAGGCTATATATTTATATAGCACACGAGCGCCAGCATACATTGTATTCCTTTGCTTTTGTACTTTTGTTGATTGACGTGACGTATATATCTGTATTATGTACTATTATACTATACCATGTTCACACTGTATTTCTTAAAAGAAAATATAGTGCATACCACCCAATTTCAGATATTGACATTCACAACTATTCAAAGGTGGATTCAGGATTTAGAGGTAACAGATACACATTTTGCATTTAATCAAAATTTGCTTTGTATATATAATGTTATTACTAATACATCACTATTTTTAAAATATATATAAATATATATATGCAATTTTTGTCGAGCTTTATAGGTACCTGTAAGGTTGTAACCCCTCATTCTATAACATCAACTATATATTATTAAACTAGTAAATACATTCATTAGTGGTCGTTAATCTTTGGTACATCAAGATAACATGAAATCTGATTTCGTATCCATCCTTCACGTCTATAAAGTTGTTTTCAATTAAATATTAATACAAACCAAAAATCGTTAAGCTGTTTAACTTAAGCATCTTAATTAATTCATCTGTCCCAACTAATATTAAGCTTTTACTTTTCAACTAAACTTATATAAGCAAAACAAAAGATAGACTTATTAGTGAGCAAGAACAAAATCTTAATACAACAGGTAAATAATTTTAGTACCATAGCCAAATCATATCATTGGTAAAATGTGAGAGAAATGCTAAGTATGTAAAGGATTCAAGCTTTACATCACGATATATTTTAAAGCCATGTCGACCTAGTTAGACAAAAATAAACAATATCACGAGTGAGTTGAGTTGTTAAACTTGGTAATAAAGTTGCTTCTTGTGCAAATCTTAATTGTGATGTGACAGACCTCTCGAGAACATTGAGTCCCTTAAAAAGGTGCAAAGAATACTCATAGAAAATTGTATATCAACAAAATAGGGGAGATATATCAGTAACTTGAACAAAACAAGCTATAGACCCTAATGACGTATTCTAAAATCGTGCAAGCGTATATCCAAAAAATTGATAATATCACTAATGTATTGGACTGTTAAATAAATATAGTGTATCAATTTTCTTCTCCCTTTTTATCAATTTAAAACTATAAATTTAACTAAAATCACAAACCATAGCACCACCAGATTTTTGTCACAAGGCCTTTGGACGTGGATGCAGAGGCGGACCTATGTATTGACCACAGGGGTCACTTCAACCCATTAGCTTCGGCAAATTTTTTGGATTAATTATATGTGTATATATGTTGAAAATGGTCACATATTTTGCTGGAACTCTTAGATCAAACTGATGGAAGCACTAGTTAAACAATCAGCTCATGTGCCTCCGTCACCTTCAAATTCTGAGTTCGCCTCTGCTTGAATGTGACCCGAGGGTCAAATTATAACAAGATGCATGTCATCAGGTTACAAGTTCATTGCAACAAATGTCTTTCAAACCCTTTATCTAAGTAAAAGAAAATTGTGCAAGTATTCTCATACTTTTGAAAACAAAATATTACTAATAAATGTAAGATTTTCTTCAGTTTAGTTGACAATTGAGACTTTGGGAATTCCAAATTTGAGACGTAACTGGACAAAAAGGTAGCTTTAATTTCTGGTCAAAATCAGTTAAAAAAGCAACTATTAATTCAGCGCAAATGGGTGTTAAAAATTTCTTCATATCTAATGGGAAATCATTAGAAGACAAAAGGTCGTCATTTTTCTTTGAGTCAAAGCAAAGAAACAATTGTCTTATCTAAAGACCCTTTGACAGAAAATAGTTCTTTTATTTCTCAAACCACGAATAGTTGAGGTGACATTTAGCTTAATTAATGTCCCAAATTGTCAATACTTATGTAAATTTTCAAAACAGTAAAACGAGTTTAAGTCGACTAATGCTAAAATATTTATTTTGTAAAATAAAAAAGTTTACGAGATGGCAACAAATTTTCCATAGTAATAACCCTCAAAGTTATATCGACCAGTGTGCTAAGACGCATTACTTGTAAACCTAGTCAATTTAAGATTTCAAGTCAGTGAAATATCATCATACTTAATTATTCTACAATATTGAAGCATGTGATTATCTCATTTAAAATTATAAGTTATTAAAAAGTATTATCCGCCCCACCATCCAATACCTTGAATTAAATTGTTTATCTTTGTCAAAATAACAACATCGACAACAACAATAACAACAACCTCAGTAAATTTCCATAAATATAATAGGGTCTAAGGAGGGTAGGGCGTACGCAGACCTTACCCCTATCCTGGTAGGATAGTACAGTTATTTTCGTTAGACCCTCGGCTAAAAAAAAGAAAAGAAAAGAAGCAGTGACAACAAGCAATAACAATAAGAAGATATTAAGAAGATCGAAGCGAAAGATAACAGTCAAACAGTAAATAGTGACAACGATCTAAGAATAAAAAGGTACATACTAACACTAAAACTACCGGTACGGGAAAGAAAAAATATATGTTTGTCAAAATCAAATATGTAATTAACCCTTTTTGCAAGTTATACATAGTACTTTGGAAATTACAAACTTAGATCTTATAAAGCGAAGCAAAATCGAATTTTATCTCTGAACGAAGTGCATGGATATGAAATTAATGTTTAGTCTTAACAATTTATTAGGTCAAAAACTTTAGTATTAACTAATAGATACAAAGACTGGAGAAATACGTGCAGCAGGTCAAGTAGTAATGAAATAACACAATAAATTATTCTTTAAATTATGTTTAATGTTGAAAATCGTTAATTGAATCCTATTAAGACTGGCTTCTCATTTTTATTTAAAATCTTTGACTTTTATGTCGACAATTATTTATTATATTTCATTCAGATTTTCTTACTTTATCACGTTGCCATATTCAGCTCCCTTTTCTTTGTCCAATTCATATTCCACTATACTTTAATTGTTTTTAACTCCATAAATCATGATCAATCATTGCAAATACATCGTAAGTTTTATTATTTTTCAAAAAGTAGCAGTCGTAAAAGAGAGAAATTTGCTGTTAGTCACTTGGTAGCTAAAATTGCACTTATTTTTTTTTTATGGTTGAGATCACAGTGGCATTTTGCAACTTGTACTAGTTAGTACATCAAGTTCGTTTCAACGAACTTTGATTTTTCAATTGCAATGTTCACATTTATAGTCAACCAATGAATAAGTTGTGTTTAATTTAATGGTATTAAATGTCACACTCAATTCCTCCTAATTGAGTCTAGTTACAATTACATAATCAGCCAGTCGAATTTATAAAATAAGAAAAGATTATATTAAAAAATAGAGGCAATATAAAGCTTGTTTTGCTGTGCAAGATTGTAATTTTGAGTAAGCATACGTAAAAAATATCAGTCATATATTCGTCTATATCTGTAATCGATTTGTCAAAATAGCACGGCTGCACGGGCTAGCCAGTTTTCGGATTGGTCATTCAAAAATAACTAGCGTTTGCCAAGTCATTGAAAAATATCCACCATTTTGCTGCAACAGAGACCGGTCCAGCACAATATAGTGGAGTTCGGTGCACCTGTGTATGAACTTTCAGCATATTATGCTGGACCGGTATACTTTGCTGGCTCCAGTATAATATACTGGAGTTCCAGCATATTATACTGGAATTTCAGTATATTATGCTGGAGTATTTTCCGGATTTTGAACAGTATTTTCGTTCAGATTTATCTTTACATGAAAAGTGGCTAAATTTCTATTACTTTTGAAATGGTGGCTATTTTTGAATGACCACTTGTAAATCTGGCTATTTTTGAATTTCTTCCAATCGATTTTCGTGGAAATCCTTCAAACTAGGGGTGTACATGGACCGGGTTGGTTCGATTTTTATCAATACCAAACCAAACCAACTATATTTGGTTCGGTTTTGTCGGGTTTTCGATTTTTTTTGTTATATGAATATTATTCCAATCTTACTTTGTTAAAGTTATAGATAAAGTTTTGATAAGTAAATATATGTTTAGTAAATATTGAAAAAATTGACAAACATATGATCTATTAAAATATTCTAATGGGAAATTTTTTTTTTAGTAATACATGATAGTTATTTTCTTAGTCGTCTAACAATAATTTCCGTTAATGTACGCTTTCAAGGTTATCACATGAGAGGATCCCAAATATTTTAATATATATAGAGGATCCCAAATATTGAACCAAACCGATTCAATGTGTATATATATATATATATATATATATATATATATATATATATATATATGTCGGTTTGGTTCAATTTTTTTTACCCAATACCAAACCAAGTCAAACCAAACCTAGTCGGGTTTTTTAATCGGTTTGGTTTGATGTTTCGGTTCGGTGCGGTTTTCCAGTTCGGTTTGAACACCCCTACTTCAAACTATTGATGTAAGCTTGGTCAAACAATTCAACACGGTAACGTATGCAGGTCTAGGTTTTGAGTTTGTGTCCCACCGTAAGCTATTATAAAAATAAAAAAAAGAATTACACATGTTTGGATCTTCAAAAAAAAATAAAAAAGAACCAAGCCCACACGAGAGGGAATGTAATGAAAATAAAAACAAATAAGTAAATAAATAAATAAATAAAAATATGTTGATCTAACATTTTAAAATTTTAGATGAGATATTCACACACTTCAACCATCTTCAACTATAGAGTTGAGCGAATGTAGAAGAATTTTAAACCAAAGGAAAACAAAAATAAGAAATTGCTCACTACTATCCAAAGTAAGCATGAGATAAACAAAAATTTTCTTAACTACTATATGAATCGTTAGTAAGCCACCAGATAAAGAAATTAAATTGTTCTTCACTACTGTCTATTGTTACAAAGCCAACAATTTGAAGAAATTTTTTCTTCACCACTATCCAATTTAGCAATACTAGAGGTGGCAAAATGCAAATGGAATTGAATCCTTTTATATAAACACTTATTTACGATCAGCAGCGAAGCAAGAAATTTCTCCAAAGGAGTTCAGACTTGAAAAAGTTAAAAAAAAAAAATCAACAAAGGGTGTTCCATATATATTATATACATCTAAAATCTAATATTTTACTTGTATATACAATATAATTTTTTGTAATATCTCAGCGAAAGGTGGTCAATTGATCACCCTTAGAAAAAGGTGGCTTCGCCCCTATTTACGCATTTTCTTACTAATCTCCTGTGAAAAGGGTGATATAATTAAAATAATATTTGTAATTGAATACATTACTGAATCTCTCGAGCCAAGCAAAATTATGACTATTATTTTCGTAAAAAGATTGAATAAGGTAAAATGAATAATGCATGATCTTTGAGGTTATCTATATCGAATTGGAATCCACCACTCAGACTGTAAATTCCTGCGATTTATATCTCAATATATGATCCGATTTTATTCTCTTTAGGTATAAATTTACTTGATTTACAAATGAACCGCTGTGTATAAGAAGACTTTTCTAGACCTAAATATCATTATCACTGTCTCAGTGTCATATGTTATTATCAAATAAATTTGGTTTAAAATAATTTTTCCTCATTTTTATAGGCTGCAAGTCACAAATATATTATACAGAAGTCCAAGTTAGACTTAGGTTCGCCACCCAAAAAAAAGAAAAAAAAGAAGAAGAAATTAAAGGGAAAACAGAGAACGTTAATGCAATTTGCCATATTGTATGTTATATAATTTCAACAATAAATTAGATATGATTAATCTCATGACTTTTGTAACAGATTTCAATTTTTGTCTGAATATTTTTGGCTTATGTAAGTTCTAAGAAAAAGGTTGATATCTGTCTTCTTAGTATATCCTAGTTAAACCCATTATGGCTCATTTGATACAAGGGATAATTAATATTTGGATTAAATTTGAGATGAGTTTATCCCACGTCTGATTGAGATAAAATTTCGGTATAACTAATTCCGGGATTATAGTGTTATTTTATCTCTATGGAAGGGTTGCATAATAATCGGGGAATAACTAATCATAGAATAATTAATTTTGGGATAACTTGTTTCCCAATCAAATGACCCCTTAACGTTTATAGATCTTTATATTAATAATTTATATGCAGTCTAAAACATCTTATAATACATTGGCTTATTAAAAGGAGCTTCATAAAATTGTCACATAATTTGATATGTTACCAAATCTTGTTGACGAAGTAATTAATTGTGAATCAAGTTATCCACGGACATCATCTTTGTTGTCTTATGAATTTTTACAATTACTTCTCCTTGTTTAAGTATTAGTAATACGAATTCCTTATAATAAGCATTAGACTAAATTATAAATTATTTGGGTTGTTATTGTTCTTGTTAATACCATTTCAAAGCTTAGTCAGCACGTTTTGACATTCTGATACTACATCTAGTAAAACTGTGTAAATAACAATATTATAAACTATTTGTGTGGTTTTTATTTTTGTTAATACCATTTCAAAGCTTAGTTAGCAAGTTTTGACATATTGTAGTTATATCTAATTAAACTGTGTTGAACTCGTCGTTCGAGAATTATTATCTTTATCTGAGGCTGCAGTACACTATTTCTTGCAAAAACTGTTAGTATATTACATTAATTTTGTGATTAACTTTTATCTGATCAGCTAGTTTAGTTTTTATTATTATTATATAGTTTCACGATCACCTGAAGGAGGAGCGACACTAATAAGAAGAATTCATATAACAGACACCAACTTGCTTGGAATTAAGGATTTATTGTTGTACAAGTGAATTATCTTAAATAGACTTTTTACCTGGTTTACTCTTGAAGTGGTCAACAAATATAAAAATATAACTCGTTGATAACCTTCCCTATATTTATATTAGGTCAGTCCATTTTATAAAGTTTCTTTTTAGTGTTGCATATATATAAATTAAAGCAGATATTATGGGCAAAGCTAATTTGCTAAGTAATGCTAGTGAAATACTGTCATTAGAATGCACCTTCTTACCTAATAGGAAAGTTGAATATATCAACTTACACTTTTAAAAAACCACTAGGTAAAATCCTGCTAAGCTTTTACAACTAATAAACTACTATGTACATTTACTTTATCAATGTTGTGACTCTAAATTTTTACTAACCCCCTCCACCCCCA